AACTGAGTCCGCACGATTGAGTCCCCACGATTGAGTCCGCACGATTGAGTCCCCACGATTGAGTCCCGGCACGATTGAGTCCCCACGATTGAGTCCGCACGATTGAGTCCCCGTTGTATATACCTCAATTGAGTCCCCGTGGATTTAATTTAAAAAATTCCATATCTTGCATGCGGGATTATTTCAAAAATGTTACGGGATGGAATAAGCTGACAGAATCTGCTTGCAATACATGATTCTTTTCAGCAGATTTTTTTAATTTTTGAAGTCTTAAAAAATTTCTTTATTTTTAAAAATTTTTTTTTGAAATTTCTAATTTTTTAAAATAAATGCCGGGCAGATTGTTCCTGAGATCTTACAGCTTTTATGCACCCTTGTTATTAGCTTATCTTGTTTTTCATTTTTTCTAAATTTCTAGTTTTTCATTTTTTTTCGTAAATTACACGCTTCTCAACAAGTTTAAATGGGTACCACGGTCAAGGTGGAGGAACAGAGCTTCAGCGTGGAACATCTGTCGGCTGGCATTGATGTCTCGCAGCGGGATCGGGAGGAACGAGCCCTCCACTGGCAGAAGACGAACCAGTGGAGGGCATCGACTTGTGCCGAGAACTTCACGAAACTGCAAGGGAGACCATCAGTAACGAGGATAATGTAGTGCTGGGAGAAGAAGAATACCAAGATCTTATAGCCAATGAGACGGAGAGGGAGGAGGAAGAAAACTGAAGGCGAAAAAGAGCAGCCGCGCATGTATATTTTGGAGATACATATACATGCCCGGATATACCTCCTAATCTTCAAATACAAAATATATCCCTTCATATCCACCGATATCCAATTTGATCCCTCGATGTCGCATACATGTCCTCTAAAATTCACTTTAAGCCTTCAATATCCCGGATATCCATCTTAAACCTTTTGAAACTTATTAAATCCACGGGGACTCAATTGAGGTATATACAACGGGGACTCAATCGTGCGGACTCAATCGTGCCGGGACTCAATCGTGCCGGGACTCAATCGTGGGGACTCAATCGTGCGGACTCAATCGTGGGGACTCAATCGTGCGGACTCAATTGAGGTGTACCGTACAGACAGGAAATTTAAAATCTAAAATTTAATATCGTTCTATCTTTCTACAATAATATTTAATGTTTTAGAAAATCAGTGCTATTGTTGTGTATAATCTCACCTATTTGCTGATCGACTATTGCTGTTCGAATGTCCATTGCTAGACATGATCTCGCACCTAGCAAATTTCTGTATAGTGTTCACTAATTTTCAGACCCGATTATCATAGAAAGAGTTTGCAAAAGTTTAGCCACCGGGCAGGATTGCGACCACCTGCCAGTTGTTGCTAGGCGCTTTCGCTCGCACTATGCAGGAGCTCTACCTCCGAGCTACCGAGGCATCGTTTTAAATGCTGCTGGGTGAATCATCTTTACATCATCTTGTCAGTTTTGCAGACGCGGATCTTTCGATTTTTTTGTTTATAAATTCGACGTAGTGACAGAAGGGGAAATGGAACATAAATTAGAATATATCAAACAAAAAGGAAAACAAAAATCAGAAAATAACATCAAAAGTAACAGGAAAAGTAGAAAAAAGGCAGTTGTTATGGCTTCGTCACACAATAAAAATAAACTTTGAAAAAATCTGAATAAAGTTACAATGGAGAAAAGTTCTCTAAATGTTTCGAAACTTGTTTACTTTAACTTTCCAAAAAAGTTTTATGCTCCTCCTTGTTTTTTCTCTTTTTTAAGAATTTTATGTCCGACTAAATGGCTGTATGCGATTCATAGGCATATGACTTTAAATAGATGAATGTGATCAATTGGCAAATAGTTTGTTTATTGTTTTCAACTAAAATTTTTGTGTAAAGTTACAGAAAAACTACTTTTTCTCTTTTATTTTTACGGCTGGTATTAATTTATTAAAAAATCTGCCTGTGTTCAATTGGTAGATGCGTTGCATACAGTGATTCAACGGTTCCAGTTCCGGAACTGGAACCGTAAATGTCCGCAACCGGTTTGGAACAGGAACCGTGGAAACGATAGATGCCTGGATTCGGTTTAGAGCAGGTTCCGGAATGGTTTCAAAGATACACCCCTAATGATGGATGAAAGAAACCCCTTAACTTTTAGAAAAATAAATAACTCGAATTTATGGTTTGAAATTATTTATTATATTTTTCTCTAAATACATATCAGGAATATGTATATCGAACAAAATAATATTTTGAACAAAGAAATAAGGAATTAAAATTTGATGAAGAATCTAAAAATAAATGAATAGAAAACTTAAAATTATATACTATTTATTAAGTATTTTTTACCCTAAAGACTGTTTTGTGGTAATTATGTTGAGAAAAAAGTGAGGCGAAAAAAGGATTTTTTTTATTTTTTATGGGAATATTTATTTTAAATTTAAGATAAATAATAAAATATTTTTGGTTAGTACACAAATATATTTCAGTAGAATTATAAAAGAATAAAAGGTAATTCCAAGGCTGGTCCCCCTTTTTTTCTATCCGCCTGACCATTTTGAGCTTTTTTGCTTGACATATGTATAATTTACAAATATCATTTGGAAGAGCTGTTCAAGCTGAGTAGAATGATACTATGATCGTTTCGATTTGGAGATTCTGAGCAGAATTATGAAGCTAAATCCTCGATGGACATGCTTTTTGTGTTGTTGAAAGGGATTAAAACAAATGGTCATAACTATGTTTATTTAAGTTGGATTTCGAAGAATTTAGTACCATTCGACTCAGCTCGAAGAGCTCTTTCGAACAATATATAATTTGCCATAAAAAGTTTAAAAAATCGAAAAAATAGAAAGGAAAAAAAGGGGGGACCAGCCTTGGAATTGCCGAATAAAAATTAAAAAGCAAACGATTAATGTTGGCCTAAAAAGTTGATAAAACTTTAAAGTTTATATTTTATTTTTGACATTTTTAATTAAATTGACTAAAAATGGGAAAAGCGAAAATTAATTCTTTCATTATAATTTAAAATCTCATTTAATTTTTAAAAAAGTGAGTAATTTAAAAGGAATTAAATTTTAGGCAATCCAATAAACTAATTTAGCCTTCTGTGAAATTTACATTTACCCTTTATTAAAATTTAAAATATTCCCTCAACAAATAAATTAATTAATCCTTTTTCGCCTCCTATTAGTATACATATAGTATATACTAATAAAAATAATTTATTCATTATTTTCATCATCCAAATCATCAGATAAATACTCTTCATCATCTGGATCCGATTCGATTGATGGTTAACATCCTTTTTTATAAAAAATACAATAGTAGGATTTATAGGTAAAAGGATTATACACTCTGTTCCAAAAGTATATTACATTCGATTACATTCGATATCCTACCGCCTTACATTCGATATCCCTCCAAATCCATTGATATCCCCATAAACACCCAAATCCCTCCAAATAACCAAGTATTGTATTTAAGCCTTTTAATTTTATTAAATTACTGGGTCTCAGTTGAGCTAGATAAAAGAGCAACTCAGTCGTACGAACTCAATCGTGAGGGCTTAGTGAAATGCTCGGATTTTGTAAGGCAAATAAAGAAGGATTCACTCTTTTCAGCGCCGCATGCGAAAATTTTTTGAAATTCAGAAGGCCAAAGGTCAAAAATCCTCAGTTTTATTAAAAAATACAAGAAAATTGGGGTCTTTGAGTCAGTATCGTTTCTCGCCGAGAAATGGACCGAGAATATCGGTATCGGTTTCGAGACCGAGAATGAAAAAACCGAGACTGATATTGGAAAAAAGCCGAGAATCTCGGTATCGGTCTCGGCTTGTCCAACTCTAGTATATACGAAGGCAAATTCACAAAAAAAACATTTTCTTGACAAAAAATCCTTCAGAATATGAATACAATAATTTTATAAGTAATATTTTTTTAAATTTTTAAACACTCCATTAAGTTAAAATTTTTGTTAAGAAAAATTAAATTGCCTATTGATCCCATCTGTTTTGTTTAATTCTTTTTTTTGTCGGACCGTTTTAAATGGGGCTTGTTTTTTCGATTTATTGTAAATGTAAGTTGATCCGATAACTAGGGACAAAGTTACAGACTTAAGAAAATGCAAAAAGAGAAGGGTTTCTCCTGTTCGTTCCTTTTGTTTATTGAGTTGTTAATCACGCCGAGAGAAAACCAAATTCCCGATTTTCGGGTTTCGTAAATTAAATGTACGAGAGATTCTTAATTGATTAATGGATAAGCGATATAAGTTTATCAGAGATAAAGGGATTTAGGTAATAAAATGGATTGAGGGAAGTTTTCTGGATCTCAAAATTCTGGATCTCATATTCAAAAATTATTTTATCAAAAATAAAATTTTATATACTCATATTTAAAATTCATATTTAAAAATTATTTTATAAAAATTAAATTTTATATATATAAAAATTAAATTTTTATTAAGTTAAACACAACACAATATGTATACTTTAAAAATTAATTAAGTCTGTTTTTAATGTCTAAAATATTATTGAATCCTTAAAAGCCTTTTCAGTATTGCACAAATCCTTGTCAGTACAACTTAAACAACTTTTGTATTCTGAAGGGCACAAGCCACAATTTTGCTCCACTTAAATTTTAAAATTAAATTAACGGATAATTATTAACGGATAATTATTTTATTATTAACGGATAACATTTTAACGGATAATTATTTTTAAACTCTCAAGCAGATTTTATCATTATTATTGTTTACAGTAAATGCTGAAATAATTATCCTAGCTAATTGTATTTTAAACGCACCGCTGATAGGAGAAATTAATGAAGAGGAGTTAATTATTCGTAAATATTTTAGGAAGGCTAATAATAACATTTTAACGAATAATTATATTTCAATTAGTAAATATTTGGTAATTATTGAGGTGGGCATAAGATAGCGTGAGAGGAAAATAGAGAATTTATTAGAGTCCCGATTGAGTAGAATGGCGGGATCAGGAGAAATTACACGAAGGGGGGGGGGTGATGAATTTGCAATTAAAATCCCAAACTTTGTCACTCTAGGACAGGAACAAACTTATGTAGGCCGATGGATTTTCAACTTGAGAAATAATTTTGACATATTCAGCATTAAAACCACACTATCAAGTTAGAACCTAAAGTATCAAGTTAGAACCTAAAAAAAATACCATCTAGTTAGTATAAAATCTTTTTGAGGATTATAGGATAGAACCAAAAATTCAAATTATTACCTCTCCCAAATTTATCCTTAGCAATATAGCAATGAGTATACATAGGGTGACATTTTTTCACTTTTTTCTTATAAAGCTTAGTTTTAGGAATGTTGTAGTGACATTTTATAGTTGGAAGTCTATTCCCGACATTACAATACGGGGTATTACAATTCACGCATTTTTCCAAGTGAGAAGGGCAGCTACCACAGCCTTGCACAAAGCCTAGAAATAAATGTATCAAGTTGTCTAATAAGGTCGAAATAAAGTATAAGATACACCTCAATTTAGGTTACGGTCATTTAAATCTAAATGGATATTGAGTATATACATATGTACCCCTCATTATATGACAAAATTTTCGGTCACAAGGGTGCATCTTATATTGAGGCCCGACAATTTAAGCCTTTTCATTACAATATAGAGATTTACCCATTTCAATCGCGTCAACTCCAATAAAACACGATTCTCCACAAACCCTCCTCCCTTTGGTTGGTGTCCACTTTTTAACACCCTTCTCCCAACAAAACATTTGTTTCTCAAAATATGTATCAGCGTTACAAGCCGGAATGTTGCTACATTCTGCACATTGCATTTTGGACATATCAAGATTTTTAAATTTATTTACGAAGGTTGTTTGCTTAGTTTTGATGTATGGTGACAAATCGAGAATATTAGAAGGACATTTTCCACAATCATAGTGGAACTGTTGAATTTTCTTGTCTTAAATTTGTTTCTGTAGAAATTTTTATTATAAGTTTTCATCCTTTAATCGAGAATGAAACTCGATTTAAGTAAATGCGCAATTGCTGGGTCAAGAAAGATGAATCTGGGTCTTGTGGGAGGCAGAAGATAGACTACATCCCATCCCATAATATGTAGAGATCGAAATTTTGTTCCGTAATTTTTAAAAAGCCTAGGCGAAAATTAGCAACAGACTGAACGAGAAAGGACGGGTCGAGAATAAAACTTGTGTATAGAACGCATCTATGATAGTGGCATATCTTGTAGTTATTGAGATCGTTAGGTCTAATATCTCTAATTTATTTTTACTCCAAAGCTAGCTTTAAGTTATAGAATAAAACACCTCCAATTTTTTCCTCAATTTTAGCAATATAACAATTCGATTCATTACATTCTTTATAACTAGCCATAAATCCAAAGCAATAAAATGGCAGTTCTTGATCATTATTGCAACGATGAGTATTACATTCTTTACAAGTGAAAAAAGGACATATTCCACATCCTTTTTTGACTTTAAGTTTAAAAAAGGATTTTTATTCAAAATTTATTCAAAACCCCCGTTTGTCGGAGTTCTCCATAAATAGCAAGGTGCATCAAAAGGCGTTTTACATATCCCATCATTATCGGCCAAACAATGTTTGTATACTTTACTTTCCTCGTTGCAGTAAACTTCTTTACATTCTTGACATTCTGTGGTGTCGTTTGTTGGACAAGATCCACATCCTTGTGTTACTGTAAAAATAGGAAGTAGTGATAATTGAAGTGTGGGTTTTGTGTATCGCAAGAGTTTTATAATGTAAAGTCTTATTCTGGATCGGTATTAAACAAAATATTCGGATAAATGCTTTTATATTTCATTTTTTGTATATCCGAATCTCTCGACAGTGGTCATTAAAATTCAGGAAAACTGTTGGTGATTCGGATTCAAAAAAAAAAGAATGAGGGGTTTATTGGTTCGTTTTCAGCTATCATAAGCTTTCCTTTAATTGATAGCCATAATAGCTTTTTCTTTTACTATTTAAATTTAGCAACTTCATTTAAACAACTACCATATCCTGTTAAATTATCTCTTGATACAAAACATTGCTCTTCGCATACACTCGCCCCTTTGACAACCATCGAGTCGTTAAGCGACCTCTCTAAACAAAACAATTTCTCCTCTATAAAATTTTCCGTGTTGCACAATATCCCGTTGCTGCAGTCTGCACATTGAAATTCGTCATTATAATTTTCTTTTAATCTTTCCCCGAGTAGTTCGTCTAATGTGCCGATTAACGACGAACGTGATTCCGGACATTTTCCACAATTTTGATAATATTCATTTTTATTATCTGAAAAATAATTTTATTTTATTACACATCATGAGTAGTAAAGATAGGGATTGTTGTTTCTACAGACCTTTTCTTTGGAACTTTTGTTGGCCATAGTGTAAAAGTATAACTTTTAGACACACTTTTTTCTTCGTCTTCCCTTCCATTTCCTCCCATTTATTACATTATTTATTCTTCAACTGTTTTTCTTTTATTTTTACAACCTATTTGCCTATATTTGTCACCTATTTTAGCATTTTATACAACTTATTTAAGTACCTATTTTAAGGTTTTTATGACCTAAAATCCGACCCTACTCATTAAGCTATTTTCAATACCCTTCCATTTCCTCAAATTCATTACCTTTTTTATTTGTCAACTTCAAAATGTAGCAGTCGGGATCGCTACATTCACTAACACCATCAGTTCCTTGATTACTATAACAATAGTAAGGGGTATCCTCCCAATCATTACAAAGATGAGTTAAGCATTTTCTGCAGGCTTTAGTTTCACAGTCTCCACAGCCTTTTCTTGCTTTAATTTCTCAAAATTATTTTTAAATTAAGAAGATTTTTTACTTTCGTTTATCGAAATTCTTTCCATATGACAGGGGATATCAAAATCTGTTTTACAAATTTCTTTATAATTTATCCAGCAATGTTTGGGAACAAGTCGTTCCTCGTTACAATACTTTTCTGTACAGGTTTTGCAGTCATGTTTAGGGTCGTCACATTCACCACAGCCAAAATTTACTTTAAAAATTTAAGGGTTTAATTGACCAAATTTAAACAAGATAACGGAAAGATACGAGAACGAGTCAACAAATAAAAGTTTCCATAAGATATCATTCTCTAATCCCAATCAATATTTCTGGCAGATTATTACGGGTCCGACTTTCACGGTCAGATGACTTTCCACGGATATGGGAGAGGGAGTTGAGAGAGATATGAGTGACACCCTTGCATCTTCGTCGATGAACTAACGTCCCTTTTGATGTGACTGACCTCTATCCTATCCATTTATTAAAAAGATTTTTTATTCTTACATTGCCCATTAATTGAATCACGAGATACAAAGCATTTACTCTCGCAAACTCTCGCTCCTTTTACCATTCCCATTTTGTCAGTATTTGAACTTTCCCAACAAAACAATTGTTCTTCGAAGAATTTTGGTGTATTACAAAACGGACTGTTTTTGCATTTTGCGCATTGAATACCGTTGGAGGGAAGGTCAGAGGAAGATTGAGGACATTTTCCACAGTTATATACGAAGGAATTTTGGTTGTTATCTGATAATAGATGTCTGATCTAACTAAACACTAAATCTTCCATCTACCTTTCGAAATAAAACAATCGGGTTCTGGGCATTCCTTATCTCCATCAACACCTTTACAAAAATAAGGGAACTCTTTCTCAGAATTACAGCGATTATCTTTGCATTGTTTACATGTTGAAGGATTTGAACATTTACCACAACCTTTGTTAACTTGAAAAAAAATTTTTTTTTGAAAATCTTAAAAACAATTTAAAGACTCTGATTAGCCAAGGTTCTTTCAGTAAAGCAAGGAGTATCATATTCAGTTTTGCATATTTCCTCATCATTTATCCAGCATTGTTTGGGAACAAGTCGTTCCTCATTACAGTACCTCTCATTGCAATTTACGCAGTCTGTACTTTTAGAATTTGTTGGGCAAATCCCACAGCCTTGAGTTACTGAAAATTTATGATATTTAAAGTTACCATCTATAGATAATAGAGATCGGAGAAAGACAAGTCTTAACAAAAAGTTCCGTTAGAAGATTTCGATAAATTTCTAAACAATCTCGTTCGATCACTTTTGAGAGTTGACATCCAGGTCTCTCAGTCAGGTCGCTAGTATATATTACATGATTTGACATTATAACCCATGATTAGGTTATCATAAATCATAGTGACAAGGGGTTATCTTAAATGAGTGTCCCATAGCCATGAGTTACTGAAAATAATAGAAAAAGGCATCTAGTATTAGCCTGACTAGGTGTATTTTATTGTAAGGCTCTTCAGTACTTTCTTCTTCTGAACGAACCTTTCCCGTCTTCATCTCTCGCAACAAAACATTGACTTTCACAATTTCTCAAATCACTAATTGGTATAGCCATTTCCACAGTCTTATTCCAACAAAACAAAGCATTATTGTAAAACTCTACAGTATTGCAAAAAGGACTATTATTGCATTTTGCACATTTAAATGGATGGGTTTGGACATTTGGGCAATTTCCACAATCCCAATCATAATTGCCTATATTAGTAATTTGTAAATCAGCGTTTCATAAAAGTTTATATAAGAGAAGTGATGCCCTCGTATAAATGATAGAGTGTTATAAGATTTTGGCTCATGTATGCTCGATATTTTAAAAGTTCCAGGAAGTTTGGACGGCGGATTGTTACAAATTTACAATGGATTATTATTATTATATATATTATATTAATTAATGTATTATATTAATTGATATTATATTCAATTAAATTAATATATTATATTAATTAATTATATTAATTATATTAATTAATTAATTATATTAATTAATCTATTATATTAATTATTAATTAATGGGTAATGGAATAAAATCATCTCAGAAAGACCCCAAACCAGACACTGATCAGTCACTTTCAATTTAATAGTGGATATACTATTTAGAGTATGACATTTGTATTTTTATCGTATACCTTTATCCATTTCTTCTAAATTAGCAATATAACAGCTCGAATTCTTGCAAATATTATCAAAACCACTTTTCCTCCTACAAAAATAGTCATAATCTTTTTCATTGTTGCAGCGATGTGTGTAGCATTTGTTGCATGTTGAAGAAGCACAATGGCCACAACCTTTTTTTACTTTAAATAATTTTATTTATTAAAGTAAAATAATTAATTAAAGACATTTATTATCTTCTGTTCTCTCAGTAAAACAATTGCTAGTGGATGGAGTTTTACATATTTCTTTATCGTTTAACCAGCAATGCATATCAACATGTTTTTCTTCGTTACAATATTTTTCGTTACATGTAAAACAATCAGTTGTAGCAACATTTTTGGGGCATATCCCACAACCTTGTTCTACTGAAATTTTTTTTGAAGGAATTAAGCGAATTATGAAAGCATAAGAAGAGTATTATTAATGATTTCTTAAATTTGTTGGAAGAAAGCCAATGGCTTTTTCTGAGACTTTACAAGTAAGCTTATAGGAGTGATTTATGAATGCTTTCACTCCAGTAGAAAACTGATATCCCCTTAATCTTTCGATATCTCGAGTTACTACTTAATCACTCCATATCCACAGGTCAAGCATACAAATTAAATCAAAGTAAAATGTTGTGCTTATCGAAATACAGTAGGTTCAGTATCAATAAGCATTGAGTGTGTAGGGTTTCAGTGAATTCAAGCTATCTTAGCGTCTTAGTGACTACATTAAAGGCAAATTGACCACTTAAAGGCATCTAACCCGAGTCTAACATTAAAAGCAAATCGAGGTGTGGAGGGATAATATTCTTTAAATTAAAAACAAACATTTT